GAAACCACTTTCGTTGTACAAGTTCGAAAGAGGAAACCTCCACAGACCTGATGTATGAATTTCTCTAACACTGGGCCTCGTTCTGGGCCTCAATCTCCATGGTGTCCTCGGAGGGTAGTCTTCTCACCGCCTGTTCTTGCTTTGAGAAAGGTCTTCTACGATTAAGTCTCTTCTGCCAACAGAAGAAAGAGAGAGGGGAAGAGTATGGAACACCCCTGCTTTAAGCCAGAAGGATCTCATTCCATCTCTATCTCTGCTATCCCTCTGCTTCTAAAGGGAAACATTTCGAGGATCCATCTATGATCATTTCAGATCCACCTTCAACCATGGTTTTTGGGGTCAACGTTGTTTGGGGTTTTGATGGACTGCTTCCAGTCACCTATTTCTGCTCCCCCCTTTATCTGTCCTTCCTTCCTTCTTTCCTTCCTTTCATCCATCCATCCATAACTAGTCATGGGAGAAGCAATCAGCAAAGGGGGTTGTAGACAAAAGGTGCAAAGACGGAAAGATGTTGACCATTTCTAGGGAGACCAAAGATAAAGAAAGCTAGAAGGTTCAGTCCACCTGAAGCATAGGTTGATAGCAGATCTGGCCATGGACTACGAAGAGAAGTAAAACCTTAAGATGGGTCTGAGGTGGGCTAGACTTTGGCCTAAAGGAACAGTTGGAACTAGGCGTGGAGGAAGTCATATTTTTAGCTGGTTCAGGAAGCCAATGAAGTTGAGTTTGGTTTCTGGGAAGAAAGGCTCTTGTGAGAAGTCTAACGCTGTAGATACTGTAGATCGTTGACATTGTGGGTTCAACCGGTTTAATTCTGCATGAGGAAATGAGGCTTTTTTTTTTGAGGTGGACAGGAGTCGCTTAAGAAAACCCAGAAGGGATGGAGAAGTTTGAGCCGGAAGCCTCGCTTGAAGAGAAGAGCAGAAAGCAGGGTTCCTATGCTGTGCTCGGCTGCTAGGCGAGGCCTTCGTCAGGAAATCAAGCCTGGAAGTTTGCTTCAAGGAAAATTGGAGAAGGCCCAGCGCCTCCTGGAGTAGTTCAAGCCTGGTGATTAGGAAGGATTGGGGGGGGCGTGGGGAGCAAACTCAGGAAGCGGTTTACTCAGCCGAGCCCTTCTGCCGACGCTTGGAAGGGGGAACAAGATGGCGGGGCAGGTCAGAGGGCAAGCCGTGGCCTTCGAGTTTGACCTCGATGAGGTGGCTGGCCAGAGCGAACTCCTCGTCATCCAACATGCCATCCCGGTCGACGTCGCTCAACTTCCAGATCTTGCCGAGAACCGAGTTGGGCAGCTTGGTGGTGACCATCCAGGTCTTGGCCTTGGTGCCGCTTAGCTTGCCATCCATTGGGGAGAGGTTGTAGAAGATCTCGTCGTACTTGGGCTTGTCCTTGGTCACGACCCACTCGTCCTCATCCATGCCCTCGTAGGCGCCTTCGGTGGCCCCCTCGACGAAGGGCCCGTTGCGGGTGCCGTCGAAGGCTCCCCCCTGGACGATCTGCTCGGGGACTTCCACCTCCTCCTGGCGCAAGAGGGGCATCAGCTTGGCGATGTCGAGGGTCAGCAACTCATCCAGGGCCTCCACCATGCGGGGCTTCAGCCCGTGGAACTTGGTGAAGTCGTGGACCATCAGCATCTCCTAGAAAGAAACCCCGGGAAGAAGATAGATGAAAGCTTCAGCCGTGTGCAACTCAGGATAGCCATCGCATAGCGATAACCCTCCTTCCCTCCCTCCATCGCAATAGCAATAGCGCTTAACTTATATACCGCTTCTCAGTGGTTTTACAGCCCCATCTAAGCGGTTTACAGAGTCAGCCTATTGCCCCAACAATCTGGGTCCTCATTTTATCAACCTTGGAAGGACGGAAGGCTGAGTCAATCTTGAACCGGTCAGAATTGAACGCCTGGCTGTGGCAGAGTTAGCCTGCAATGCTGCATTCTAACCACCATCATTGCTCTATATCTGTCTATCTATCTATCTATCTATCTATCTATCTATCTATCTATCTATCTATCTATCTATCTATCTATCATCTATCCCAGTGATCCCCAACCTTTTTAATGCCGCGGCCCGGTATCCCCAACCTTTTTTATGGCGTGGCCCGGTACCGACATCAGCTGGGCGCCGCCATCTTGTTTTGATGAAAAAGTGCTTCCGGTGAGCTTTCTACCCGGAAAAGCTCACCGGAAGCACTTTTTCATCAATACAAGATGGCGGCGCCCAGCAAACCAGCGGCCCATTAGGACTTGTTCCACGGACCGGTACCGGTCCGCGGACCGGTGGTTGGGGACCCCTGATCTATCCCTCCCTCCCTCCATCCATCGCAATAGCAATAGCGCTTAGACTTATATACCGCTTCACAGTGCTTCTACAGCCCTCTCTAAACGGTTTACAGAGTCAGCCTCTTGCCCCCAACAATTTGGGTCTTCATTTTACGCACCTTGGAAGGACGGAAAGCTGAGTCAGCCTTGAGCCAGTCAGGATTGAACGCCTGGCTGTGGCAGAGTTAGCCTGCACTTTGGGCTGCCAGGGTGATTATCTGAGGCACTTAAGGAATGCACTGTTTTCTCCCAGTCCCTTTCTGCTGGCAACTAAAAAGACCAAAGGAGTATCTATTTAGAAGACCTCCAAGATCCCTTCCAACTCTGTTGTTCTACAATCCCTGATCGATTAATCAGTGGAATGACACGCCTCCAGACACTGTGGGTGCTGCATCTCTGGAGGCTTTTAAGAAGAGACTGGACGGCCATTTGCCCCAAATGGATATAGGCCAGTGGTGGCTAACCTTTTTGGGCTCTTGTGCCAAAAATTGTGCGTGCACTTACACGCTTGTGCTTGCGTGCCAGCACCCAAAAGGCAATGCGGCCCCCCACGCCCCCTACGCATGCGTGTGTAATCCCCCTCACCCCCTTACCTGCACAGTGCCTCACAGCTGGTTTTCGGTTGGTTTTAGGCCTTTTTCGGCCTCCCAAAGGCTTAAGGAAGGCTTCTGCAGGCTTTGCAGGACGAAAACTAGGCCCGTTTCGTCACTTCCGGTATTTCCGGAAAAACAGGAAGTGACGAAACAGGCTCGTTTTCAGCCCGCAAAGCATGCAGAAGCCTTCCTCAAACCTTTGGGAGGACAAAAAGGGCCTCAGACCAGCTGAGAATCAGCGGTGAGGCACGCGCATGCCCAGTGAGGTAAGTTAAAGCGGTTGGACTGGAGAGAAGACCTCCAAAGGTCCCTTCCAACTTGGTTCGTCGGTTGTTCATCCGACGACTCTTGTCCTCACCTGCATTTTGTCGCAGTCGGGGAAGTCGCCAGGCGAAATGTGATGCTCCAGCTGGATCTTGGCAAAGATGACAGGCAGCTTGTTGATCAGCTGTTTCTTCTTGTTGTCCTTGCCAAAGACGGATGGCATCTCCCTCTTGAGGTGGCTGATGATGTGGGAATGGACCTGAGAGGGAAAGCAATTGTAGGAGAAAGAAGCTGTTTGGCCATCACAGACAAATACATCAAAAGAAGAGGAAGCTGTTCCTGAAGAGCCTTGACAAATACCAATCCATCCGTCCCCTGAGCCACGGTGGCGCAGTGGTTAGAGTGCGGTACTGCAGGCTACCTCTGCTGACTGCCGGCTGCCTGCAATTTGGCA